AAAAAAAAAACACTTGACCAGAGCAGAAGAGATCAAACATGACTTTAACATCAAGACCTAAAAGCACAAATGTCAACAAGAAACACACAGACCATGACAAATTGTGATGATCTGTCTTTTCTGTGTCTTGTGGCCCATTTCTGCTCTCCCTCGTGTTGTCCGCTCCTCTTGCACCTGTCCCTCATTGTCCTCTCCCAGGTGTTTCTAATCCTTTCCTTGTTAGTGTCTCTTTAAATTCTGTGTCTCTGTTCCCTCGTTGTCAGGGCATTTTCCTGTCAAGCCTCATGTTCCTGTCGTCCCTCCATGTCCCCAGGTGTTTATGGAAGTTTGCTGCCCTGTCAGCTTTTGTTTTGTTTTCATTAATAAATTAATTTCTGTTTCATTCTCCGAGTCTCTGTGGTCTGCCTGCACTTGGGGTTCTACCAGATCACGCCAAAAATACAGGGTCTAACATTTTACAGTACCAAAGATTTCCTTTGACTATTGCCTTATACAACATTTGTTTGATCCAAGCGGCACAGTGGATCAGTTGGTAGAGCTGTTGCCTCTCAGTGAGAAGATCACCGGGTCGAACTCTGGCAGGGGCCAAGAATGAAGTTTGCATGTTCTCTCCGTGCATGCGTGGGTTTTCTCCAGGTACTCTGTTTTCCTCCCACAGACCAAAAACATGCATGTTAGTCTGACTGGTAATCTTGTGCACCCTACATGGCAGCGCCCTGCTCCACACAGAGTGCTGTGGTAGCTCGGTGGTCTGTGGTTGAGTCAGGAAGGACATCTGGCGTAAAAACAATTGCCAAGTCTTTGTGCGAATTAATTTGCTGTGGTGACCGCTGAAGAAGGAAGCAGCCAAAAAGAATAAATAAATAAAAACTCTGTTTTTAGACGTGAATGCCACCAGACATCCCATCTGTTTTTGACAGATTCTAAAATGACCGCACACAATTTTTTATGACGGCTTTAATGCAAAACTTGTGACATTTTTAGGACAAATATTCTCGGTATGTGACGTTTTTTCAGCCTCCAAACTTGTAGCTATTTAATTGATTTTTAGAGGTACAGTATTTGTTATGGACTTTTAATTTAGTTGTTTTTCCTGTGGGAACTACCTTTTCTCAGTGCTCGGTGTTCAGTTGTTCTCTTCAGACCAGCCGGATGCACCATGTTTTTAAACATAGATAGCCCACATGTCTCTTTCCAGCTCTTCTGGGAGGATCCCAAGGTGTTCCAAGGCCAGCAGAGAGACATAGTCTAGACATAGAGAGCTGGTGCAAGGAGGATAACCTTCACATCAATGTGAAGAAGACGAAGGAGATGACTGTGGACTTCAGAAGGAACAAACTCACCTACACTCCTCTGAACATAAGAGGATCTGCCATGGAAGTGGTCTCCAGCTACAAGTACTTTTGTGTGCACCTGAATGACAACCTCAGCTGGAGCAACAACACCACCAGCCTGATCAAGAAAGCTCATCAGAGACTCTACTTCTTCAGGAGACGAGCTGGTCTGGGAAGCTCAGTCCTCACCTCCTTCTACAGGTGTGCAGTGGAGAACATCCTGTGCTCCAGCATCAACGTGTGGCATGGAGGCTGCACAGCTGCAAAAAGAAAAGCTTTGCAGAGAGTGGTGAAGGCTGCACAGAAATCTGTTGGAATCAGCCTCCCCACCATCACAGACACCT